ATACGTATATACGCTGAGGAAACCAACTTTATGTGTAGTTATATCCTCTTACGATGAAGGGATCACTACTTGTACCACCTCTCCCCAGCGGCAATCTATTTTCACCTTCTCTATGTCGGTTATTAGACTAATGTACCGAGACATGGGCTCGCGTCGGCCCGGTAGCGAAGAAGGTTTTTCAATTTTGAAATTGGAGGATGTATCAAAAGGCCCAGAAATACACTCCTCAATGCAAGGAGGCACTACCTTTTTGCTCTTAGACAAGCGTGACAAAGAAGGGGCTTCCTCTTTTCGAGGGACTGTCTTAGAAGTTTTGGCCATGGTTATAACAAAAGTTTCAAAGAAAGAAGTGAACACAGAAGAATGGTGAAGGCAGGAAACTGTTAGCAAAGATTTGAAGATTTAAAGATGTTGCAAAGGTTTAAAAGATAGGGAATTGGAGTATTTATAAGAGTCATTTAAGTGTATTGGAGGAGTTGAAAGGGCGACCAATAGTGGTTCGTGGGCTTTTTCTAGAACCGTGTTGACAAGACCTCTATACAACCTTTATGTCACAGCATTTAATGATCTCACGTGGCTAATGTCACAAAAGGGGTATCGAAGAGGCAAGAACTCAAGATTGTTTCTTATCATTTCATTCTAAGAAATGCGGGGACTATTTATATACCGCCAAAGTCGGGGAGTTCGACTTTGGGACTACTGTGGCACTCCACGCCCGACCTCGAGAAGCTCGAAGCAGAGTTCGAAGCGTGACCCCGAGGTGCGTCCTCGAAGGAACATATCGAAGGTTCACTATGGTCAATCTCGGAGTAGTACAAATCGATGATCGTCATGGAAAGGCGGGAAAGCTCTCAAGGATACGTGGTTAAAGCCGACCAAGTCTGCAAGAATAGTACAAATCCGTACTGAGCTATTATACAGCTGTACCAATAGCATTTCCTCATCATTATTAGACATGTACTATGTTGAGATTCCCCCCTGCTATATAAAGGAGACCCTTATCATTTTGTAACGGACATGAATATTGAATAGAATAGAACATTCTATGCTCTTCTTGCCTAACTGAATTCAACGATTATTCTACAGATTTATTGCTTATTCATTTATTGTTCGTTTTTCATTTATTGCTCATTATTAACCGCAGAAGGCTATCTTTGAGGCCTCCATTATCGTTGTTTCTCCATCAATCGTTCATTGCTAACTACCGTATCTAGATCTCGAAGCCCCTGTTCCAATCAGCTCGAGGCTCAGTCTTGCGATAGCTTTGGTTTGCATATCTTATTCTCTTTACTTACACTTAGCATCTATTGCCTAGCAACTAGAATAGAAATTAATCACATATTTTTAGAACCACAAAATCAAATGTAATTGTTAATACCATTTTCAAGGTAAATAGCTGGCTTGATCTGTTTGGAGACCCAAGGTAGTCCGGTTGGCGTCCGCAGGCCCTGGCGTCCCCTTCTATGCATTTCCTTTACCGTTTCATTTGTATCAAAAACAATTGTATTTCCTTTAGACACCTTACTTTTAGCTAAATCTTAGTAGTTCGTGGATTGTGAAACCATATTCTAGGTAGTTGTGTATAAGTATTAAAGTTGTAATGGATTTCCGCACTTCTCTTTTTACCTTGTTATGGCTTATTTGATGTTTATCACTGAAAAACATAAGAATTTGGCTTAATGATCTCTATCATTGGCTTGCCTAGCAAGTGGAATGTTAGGCGCCATCACGGTCCCGACGGCGGGAATTCCGGGTCGTGATAGCTCATCTCACACTCATCTGACCACCTAAATGGAGCACCCTTCTGGGTCAACCTGGTCAAAGGTGTTGCAATGGATGAGAAACCCTCCACGAAGCGACGATGCTCTTTGGATCCACGGTCTAGGCCAACTCTGAACCGCCACTTTCCTCTTTGGATCCACCTTAATACCCTCACTGGACACCACGTGCCCCAAGAACGCGACCGAACTGAGCCAAAATTCACACTTGGAGAACTTGGCATAAAGCTTCTCTTCCCTCAACCTCTGAAGTACAATCCTCATGTGATGTGAATGCTCCTCCTGGCTAAGTAGGATATCATCTATTAATATTATGAGAAATGAATCAAGATAGGGTTGGAATACACTGTTCATCAGATGCGTGAATGTTGATGGGGTGTTGGTCAGCCCATAAGACATCACAAGGAACTCATAGTGACCATAACGGGTACTGAATGTCGTCTTCGGAATATCCAAGTCCCGAATCTTTAACTGGTTATACTCAGACCTCATGTCAATCTTAGAGAACACCCTCTCTCCCTGAAGCTGGTAAAAAATTCATCAATGCGCGGTAAAATGATACTTGTTATTAATTGTAACTTTATTCAACTGCCTATAGTCGATGCACATCCGCATAGCACCATCCTTCTTCTTCACAAACAGAACCGGCGCATCCCAAGGTGACACACTAGGCCTAATGAAACTCTTATCAAGAAGCTCCTGAAGTTGCTCCTTCAATTTCTTCAACTCTGCTGGTGCCATGCGATGCGAAGGAATAGAAATAGGCTGAGTGCCCGACACCAATTCAATACCAAAATCAATATCCCTGTCAGGTGGCATGCCCAGCATGTCTCTAGGAAACATATTCGGAAAGTCTCACACTATCGGAACAGAATCAATAGTAGGAGTATCAGCACCAATATCCGTCACAAAAGCCAAATATGATAGACACCCCTTCCCAACCATCCGCTAGGCCTTCAGATATGAAATTACCCTGTTGGGAACATAATCTAGAGAACCTCTCCACTCGATCCTTGGCAACCTCAGCATTACCAACATCACGGTCTTAGCGTGACAATCCAGAATAGCATGCCATAGAGACAACCAATTCATACCCAAAAATATGTCAAAATCAACCATACTAAGTAATAAGAGATCAAATCTAGTTTCCAATCCTCTAATGATCACCACACACGACTGACACACACGGTCCACAATACTAGTATCGCCCATAGGCATAGATACATGAACACGTGAAACTAAGGGCTCACAGGGCATATCCAAATAACGAGTAAAATAGGACGATACATAGGAATAAGTAGAACCAGGGTGAAATAATGTGAAAACATCTCTGTAGCACACTGAAACAATACATGTGATCGCTAAATCTGAAGCAAAAGCCTCTGGCTTGGCAGGAATAGCATAGAATCGAGTCTAATCGCCACTTGATCGGCCTCCCCCTCTAGGGCGACCTCTAGCTGCCTGAGCCCCACCCCGAGCTGGCTAGGCGAGTGGTGAAGTAACTGGTGCAGAAGTTATCGCCCGAACCCTATGCTGAACTGGACCTCCGTAGTTCTAGGTGTGAACTTCCGATCAAACTTATTAATATTTCAAAACTCCAAATTGCCAACTTTCGCCAAGTAACGCCAAAACCTTAAAAAAAATATTCAAATGCAAATTCGGGCATACGTCCAAGTCCAAAATTACAATCCGGACCTAGCGGAACTATCAAAACTCTGATCCGGGGTCAAATACATAAAAATCAAGCTTGGTAAACTGAACCAACTAAAAGCTTCCTAGTTAAGAATCATTATTCCAAATCAACTCCGGATCACTTGAAAATAAAAACCGACAATTTACACAAGTCATAATACATCATGTGAAGCTACTCAAGACTTCAAACAGCTGAACAGAATGCAAATGCTCAAAACGACCGGTCTGGTCGTAGCATTATGCATCCATATGAATGAGCATATTATTTCTTAGAAGTCAAATAAATATAATTAATGATGCATTTAATCTGTAAACAAAATTAAAGGAAAAAAATTAAAGTCCCTAAAAATGATTAAGGTTAATATATTTAACTAACTCAACAAAGGAAGAAATTCTATCTCACAAAAGTCCTCAATATTCGAATGCCTTATATTATCCACATATTATTAAATTTCACTAAAACGATATGAATAGCACTATGCAATTAATTGACATGCACATTTACAGCAAAATGAAAAATCACCGAAATACGTAAAAATACCACGCATAAGTCGATTATAAAAATAATAAATTTTACTCAATTAAATTTGTAAATGTTACACAGGAGAGAGAGCATGTAAATAAAAGACATGATAGTCCTATAAGCACACACATTAACAATGAGTAAATAAACTATCGTTTCCCTAGTTACATGAAGCTTAAGCGAGTATTGGTACTAGTATGTACTTACAAAGTTTCATGTAATTAGGGAAACGATAGTTATTTATTCATTGTCAATGTGTGTGTGCGCTTATAGGACTATCATCTCTTCTATTTACACACACACACATATATATATATATATATATATATATATATATGTATGTGTGTGTATATATATATATATAAAACTTGTTTTTACTCTGTTAAATAATGAATGGGAATGGGAGACGTGCACTTTCTTGAAAAGAAATTAATTTCATTGAGTAAAACTTCAAAGTACTAATGAATATAAAGAAATAATGAAATTGTGTAAATTAAAGGTACAATGTACGTGTAAATTATTAGGACACCTAGTTAATTGTCTATAAATCTTAAAGGGGAGGGAAAGGATTTCATAGTTCAAATAGAACAGATTTAATGGCCAAAACTTTAGTTTATTTTAGAGTTCTAGAAATTAAAAAAAATGATATTTTTGTCAAATGCAAACTTTATTTTTAAAAGTAAAATGATACTTATCAACATTTAGCGTTGCTTTTAAAATAACACATGTATAGATAGTTCACCGTTTGCATATCATCACAATGGGAGAAAAATATTTATGCAATAGCTGATGATTAATGCGATTGCCAAACATATCAGGAAGCTAATTAGTCCTAAATGTTGTGGTTAGGCAAGATTTTGATTATGCAGCTTACAATTTTTGACTTCACCTAAATGCTTGAAACATTAGAAATAAAGAGCACGAGGCATTTATCGCTATAAAATCATCACATGCGTGCAATCATAGCTGCAACCAAAGGGCGTAACATACCAACTAGGAAACAAATAATGGAATTAATCTCCCAAGAATTCATCAGACCTGTTTCTCCCACTCCCAATCACCTAAAATCCTATGATTATTCCCTTCACGATCAGTTTTCTCCTACAAATTACATCCCTATACTTCTATATTACCCTCCTCCACAACTTGGCGAGGATAACCAAAACCCAAATGCTATCAATTCAACAAGATTAAAGCAGTTGAAGAAATCCTTGTCTCAAGTTCTTGCTCATTATTACCCTTTGGCAGGAAGACTTGGAAAAAACAATACTTCAGTGGATTGCAACGATGAAGGTGTGCCATTTATCGAGGCATTTGTGCACAATCAACGCTTGGAAGACATTCTCATGAGTAACCCTCATGAAAAAACACTTACAAAATCTTTTCTTCCACTTGTCGTTTTCATCGACCGTTTTGCTTCTCGTTCAAGTTACCTTCTTCGAATGTGGAGGAATGGTTATCGGAATTTCAGCTACCCACAAAATATTTGATGCTTCTTCTGTATTGACATTCCTAACTGACTGGTCTGCTTTGGCACGCCAAGACAATCCCAACTTTGTGCTCACACAACTTGTTCCCATTGCAACGCTCGTACCATCATCTACTGAAGTACCACCCGTACCAGATGGTGAAGCCGTTATATCTCGGGAGCCATGTCGTACCAACATTTATGTTTTTAACTCTTCTAGTATTGCAAATCTCAAGATTAAGGGGTCAAGTGAGAACATACCAATACCTTCGCGTGTAGAAGTAGTGACAAGTATTTTGTGGAAGTGCCTAACAGCAAACTCCAAAAAGCCATCTTTTCTAACTCATGTAGTAAATTTGAGGAAACGAGTTGACCCTCCATTGCATGCTCACCATATTGGAAACTTCGTATGGTTACTTTTAGCATCTAAGCATGAGAGTGAGGAAGATATAGCTAGCATGGTGGTTTCAATACGAAAAGGGTTATTCGAGTTGGATAATAACTATGTGAAGAGATTGAAGGGGGATAAGGCCGTGGAAACTATTAGGGACGGTATAAGCTTGCTGATCAGTGGCATAAAGGATGTGGATTTCAATCAATTTACTAGCTGGTGTGGTTACACATTTTATGATGTAGATTTTGGGTGGGGGAAGCCAATTTTGTTTTGTACAATTGAGCCAAAATTGAAGAATACGACAATATTATTAGATACCAAGGATGGTGGAGTGGAAGCTTGGGTTACTTTGGGCGAAGAAGACATGAAAATGTTTGAGAAAAATAAAGAGTTGTTAAATTATGCAACTCTCAAGGCCAGTCACCCTACCTAGACTAGACACACAAAGAAAGAATGATACAGAAATTGCTAATGCGCTGCTACAATTCAGTTATTGCATTTGAGTTGGACTCTTCCAATAAGATTCAATAGATATCTGTAGGAATACTTCTTTTACTTTGTAGCACTTAAAAATTTTCTACCAACCTTCCAATTGCACAAAGCGGAGTCTGGCTAGTACATCAAAGTGGTTTAAGTCAGGAAAGAGTAGTACGCGCACTGTGTTGATGACAATTGACGTGCTTTGGGATTTATGTGAAATACAAAGGTTCGGTATATGTTAACTCATGAGCACAATGCAACAGATAGAAGGTATTGGGTTTGAACGGATCAGAGGTATTTTCTGTGATAAGGGTGACAGAGAAAGTGGTTAGTCAATAAACAAGCAAGGTGTTTCAAGTTGAAATCAAAGTTATCATGGCAAGTGAAGGAGCATAGCCCTGAAAGTCAAGGCCACAGACCAACCACCAGTTTAAACTCACAAGTTTTCTTTGTTTGAAACAGGGACGAAGACTATGTCCAAATCAAAGCTTGGAAGCTTGAATTTTTCAAATGCAGTGCCCAAATCTGGTCAGCACAAAGGTTGTTTGAGAAGGTTTTTACTTGCTAGGCGTTCCCCTAGTTTGAGATGACCATTACCTCCTAGGCATTCTCCCTAGTCAGAAGAGTTTTTAGTTTTCCTTATGTTTAGGGGTCCCGCCTGGAGAATAGTGTCAATTTTAGTTTTCTTAAGTTATTAATCTTTAGCATTCTTTAAGTTCAAGGGTCCCGCCTGGAGAATAGGGTCATTTTCATTTTCTTAAGTGGTTAGTCTTTAGTTTCCTTGAGTTCAGGGATCCCTCTTGGAGAATAGGGTCAGTTTTTAGTTCCCTTATGTTGTTAATCTTTAGCTTTCCTTATGTTCAGGGATCCCGCCTGGAGAATAGGGTCGTTTTTAATTTTCTTAAGTGGTTAGTCTTTAGTTTTCCTTGAGTTCAAGGGTCCCACCTGGAAAATAGAGTCAGTTTTAGTTTCATTAAGTCGTTAATCTCTAGTTTTTCTTGAGTTCAGGGGTCCCGACTGGAGAATAGGGTCAGTTTTTAGTTGTTAATCTTTTGTTTCTTTGAGTTCAGGGGTCCCGCCTGGAGAATATGGTCAATTCTTAGTTTAGTTAAGCTTAATTTATAGTTTTCCTTAAGCTTAATCTCACAGGAGACTCACATCTTAGTCGAGTCTGTAATTTTACTCTAATCATTGTATCTTTCATCAATAGCATAGTTGATTTATAGTACCACTAACAACTCACAAATCTTCCTAGTACAAACTGGGGCAGAAAATTTTGTTTGTTCTATTGTTTTTGGTTGCAGGCACCCACTTGGAGAACGAGGGGCAATATTTCAGAAATTGGTTCCAGGTTCAAATCAGAGAAGTACTAGGAGCCTACCTGAAGAACAGGGTCAACTTTCAGTTTGCAAGTTCAAGTCGGAGAGACATCAGGAGGATCCCGCCCAGAGAACAGGGTCAACTTTCAGTTTTCAAGTTCAAGTTAGAGAAGCATCAGGAGAATCCCGCTTGAAGAACAGGGTCAACTTTCAATTTACAATTTCAAGTCAGAGAGGCATCAGGAGATCGCCTGAAGAATAGGGTCAACTTTCAGTTTTCAAGATTCAAGTCAAAGACAGCAGGAGTCCGCTTGAAGAACAGGGTCAACTTTCAATTTTCAAGAATCAAGTCAAAGACAGCAGGATCCTGCCTGGAGAATAGGGGCAATTTTTAGTTCAAATCAGAGTAGCACGAGCGCCTGAGGAACAAGGTTTTCAAGCTCAAGTCTATCCAAGTTCATGTTATTCAAGTGCAAGCAGCAGGACGCCTGGCTAGAATGGACAAGGTTCAACGTTTCCAGTTTACAAGATTCAAGTCAAGACAGCACGAGCGACTGAGACTAGGGTTCAACTTCAGTTTACAGGAATCAGGTCGAAGACAGCAGAGGCCACGTGAGATAGAGGCATTTAATCAAATCAGGAGTAGCACGAGCGCCTGAGGAACAAGGTTTTCAAGCTCAAGTCTACTCCAAGTTCAAGTTTATTTCAAGTGCAAGCAGCAGGATGCCCCGGTNTGAGACAGGGCTAACTCCAGTTTTCTCAAATTCAGTCAGACNGGATGCCACCCGTGAGAAATGGGTGGAAATTTTTTTACGTACGTACGTAGTAGTAGTAGTAAGTACGTAGGTACGTACGACGTACGACGACGACGACGACGACGACGACGACGACGACGCCCCAGAGACAGGGCACTTTCAGTTTCAAGTTCAAGTGAGAAGCATCAGNGAATCCGCTGAAGACAGGGTCAACGTTTCAAGTTTACAAGTTTCAAGTCAGACGAGGACGATACACGGACGTACTCGGACCTGAACGATACGGGTCAACGTTCAGTTTCTAAGGACTTCGAAGTACAAGACAAGACACGGAGTACCGACTTCGAAGAACAAGGGTCCGAAACGTTTCCAAAGTTTTCTAAGGAATCGAAAGTCAAAACGACGAAGCAGGAGTACCGTAGGACCTCGGACGAATAGGGGCAAGTTTTAGTCTAAATCTAGAAGTAGCACGAGACGCCTGAGGACAAGGTTTCAACGCTCAAGTCTACGTCCAAGTTCAATGTTATTTCAAGTGCAAGCAGCAGACGCCTGGCTGATGAACAGGTCAACTTCCAGTTTTCAAGATTCAAGTCAAAGACAGCAGGAGTCCGCCTGAAGAACAGGGTCAACTTTCAGTTTTCAAGAATCAAGTCAAAGACAGCAGGAGCCCACCTGGAGAATAGAGGCAATTTTTAATTCAAATCAGGAGTAGCACGAGCCGCCTGAGGAACAAGGTTTTCAAGCTCAAGTCTACTCCAAGTTCAAGTTTATTTCAAGTGCAAGCAGCAGGATGCCCGGCTGAAGAACAGGGCTAACTTCCAGTTTTCTTCAAATTCAAGTCAGCAGGATGCCCACCTGAAGAATAGGGTGAATTTTTAGTTTCATGTTGAAGGAGAAAGTGGAGATTCAAGGACGATTCAAACCAAGAAGTAGATAGGATCTTGTATTTTTCTTTTATATTTTGCTGTAAGTTTTCCTTTTATTTTGATGTAATGGCAGGAACCGCGGACCGGAACTTCGACGACACCTCAATCGGCTCTCCACCTCGGTACTCCATCACTTCATTCACTTCTGAACTACACGTGGCCTGATTCCTTTATAGCCAAGGATATGTAGGATGCTCAGATACTAGGCTCGGTCACATTCTCCTTTCTTTTAGCTTTTGGTCTCTCTAAATAAAGGTCGGGTGAAAAAACCTGTCTCGTCGTTCTTTGTCATAAAATACTTCGTGTTTCCAGTCAAAAAGGGGCAGCTGTAGACATGTAAATTTTGACCCTCCCCAAGTTTTTACATATTTTAGCGAAAAATATTTAGTTTAGAGCTAATATCGCTATTTCAACTAGTTTTAACTATTTTATTTTATTTCGTCACAAAATGAAAATTACAAAAATATTTTATCTAGTTACTTTTAGTTTATGTACCTTTCATAAAATTAAAAAAAATATATAAAAGTAGTACCTTATTTTTATCTTTATATAATCTTGAAAATACAAAAAAAAAAAAAATAGTTTCATGTTTTAATATAGTTTAGTTTAATTAATTAGAATTAGTTTTTGCATTGTGTAGTATTTTTATCTTTTATTAAAGGGAGTTAACTAAGGTGTTGGACCACAATTTTAAGAGTTTTAGAGCCCAATTTTAGGACCCAATTCAAACTTAGCCCATAAATCCAAGCCCAATACCCAATATCCATTAAGCTAACCCTAGAGACCCTTCTAAACTCTTCTTCTTAACAAAATAAAATAATCCTAGACCTAACCAAGAGGCATCAGCCGTTTCATCTCTTCAAGAGAAAACCTTCAGTACCCTACACCTACACAATACAAGACCTAAAAAACCTAACAAAAAAAAAGAACTCTCAATTCTCTAACCTAGAGCCACAGCAGCCATAAACAAGAGACCCCCCATCGGCTACCTTCTTCCTTTAACAACACAAACCAGCCGTAGAACCCTCACCCAAAGGACCTGCTGCTTCTTCTCCATCCATTTCCCTCGCATCAAAAGTCCACCAACTTCACACTCAACAGCCACACACAACGACCATCCTTCAGCCGCCTCTCACCTTTCTGTCGTCGGTTTATCACCGGAAACCAGTTCCTCGTCGCCGTCTCTCACCCAGCAGCGACCTTACGCACACACACTAAAAAACGGACATGATTGAAACAGAGAAATCAAAGTTAGAGTTTCCTTAGGGATTGTTCTTCGTTTTTCACCTTCCAGTGATTTTTAACTCTAAATTCTCAATTAAAAAAATATAAATAAAAATCTGCTTCGTCAGTTCCGATTTCGAATTTTGTTAAAATTATAATAAACTTGTTTTCATTAGTTCACATTTGTATTAAATATGTTTAGATTAGTTCATATTAGCATGTAGACTAATGTGAACTTCATTATATGTATGAACTAGTGTAGACTAATGTGAACTTCATTATGAGATGTATGAACTAGTGTAGACTAATGTGAATTTAGTTAGTGTGTTTACATGAAGTTAAGGCTAGATACATGTAGGAGTTCTACTATAAATACCCATGTATGCTAGCCATTTGGAACAAGTCAAGTTGAATGAAAAATATCATTTCTTCTCCATTCTTAAAGTGAGTTGTGAGTGTTTGAGTGTTTTGTTGTCTTGCTCTCCCAAATTATTTTTTTTCCAACATTTGGTATCAGAGCCGGTGTGGTTGAAGACAACAAACTTGGAGAAAAGATGACGAATTCTAACGGAACACCATTCCAAGTTCCTATGCTTACAAAAGAGAACTATGGAAATTGGTGTATTCGAATGAAGGCCTTGCTTGGTGCCTATGATGTTTGGGAACCAGTAGAGTCCGGTGTTGATGAAGCAGAAGATGTCGTTGCCTCAAGAAGAAGGATCAAAAGGCACTCACTCTCATCCATCAAGGTTTGGATGACAAGATGTTCGAGAAGGTTGCAAATGCAACAACCTCCAAGGAAGCATGGGATATTCTTCAAACTTCTTTTAAAGGTTTGGACAAAGTGAAAAAAGTTCGCCTCCAAACCTTAAGAGGAGAGTTTGAATCATTGCATATGAAGGAAAATGAATATGTTGTGGATTATATTTCGAGAGTTTTGGCTATTGTCAATCAAATGAAAAGATATGGTGAAGAGTTGAAAGACGATAGGGTCGTGGCAAAAATACTACGATCCTTAATTTCAAAA